GGAACGCCTATGTATTCTTAATTGCAAATCAATATAACTAAATTACATACATCTCATTAGTTCCTGATACTGCTTATAAATTTAAAATAAAGCATTCATGTCATATAATATGACACTCAGTAAGTTGATGACTGCTGATAGCCACCTGCTGTTCATCTGATATGGGTTTGTTTATCAACTTCTAATTTCTCATTTTTAATTTCCTACCACAGACTCACTACGTAATATGAATTTTGTTTCACCACGATAGGGAAACTCTTGATTTCGAAGTAATGTTTTGTTAGTTAGAAATCTCAGTCCCTCAAATGAAGACTTTTTTAATTAGTGAATAAACATTTTCCTTTAAAATATTTAATTATTGTCCTCACAACCAACAAGCCTAACAAAACTTAAACAGTCATATAATTTGTAGGAAAATTAAGAAAGATTGTCAACTTAAAATGGCTAACAATATCATTTATATGAAAATAAACCGTAGAAGCGGAATTTTCAAAATAAAAAATAAAAAATCTAAATTTTAAAGATGTTTATCACATAAATTTTAATTTTTAAATTTAAAAAATTTAACTTGTTTAATCAAAGTAGATTTATTGTTTACTTTAGTCTCACTCAAATATTTTTGACCATCACTTTGTCCAAGCGCATATTTTGTGTACGTATACACATACGTTGTACCAACGTAAACACAGATAAAGAATGGTTTGTGGTCTATTAATAAAGATTTTTAAGAAATGTGCTTGTGAGCGCAATCGTGTTGACTGGTTGATAAGTACGGGTTTACTTGTGATGTTGTTTACTGTCAGGTGATTCGTAATCAATATATAATGGGTTTTCAGCAAACAATGTAAATTTTATTTTATTAGTCGATAGCAACTTTGCACTCTTCTTTTCTAATCTAGACTTAAACGCAAACATCGTCATCAGGTGATTGTGAGAAATGCTATTGCGAAAGTGTCTTACCTCTAAATTAACTCCAATTTAATGTTAAGTGGAGTATGTTATATGTATAAAAAGAAGCTGTTAAATACCATCAGCATTAATTCCCGAATTTCAAAACTTTCCATCCTCAAATAACTAGCTAATGTTACCTTAGTACTAGGTTAACATGCAGAAATAAGTGTAAGTTAAAGGCAGAGTATCAACCATGTTAAAAGAAAACTGAATGATTAATTGTATAACTAGTAATAACTACATCGACAGATCATCTGTCGTCTTCAGATATCGGTCATTCGTCTCAAAAATTAATGATAATAAACTATTTTTTAATAATAACGTGTACTGACTAAATTCGAAATTAACGTCACTTTACGCTGTCATGTTAAATGATTTATATATGCTTTTTAAATTGTGGGAAACTGCAAATTAGTCTAATGAAAGTTAATCCAAGAAAACAGATGATAGTTATCGGATTTGTATTTTAATAAATCATCAAATCATTCAAAAATAATCATGAGTTCTTTATTTTGATAAAAAATTTGAAAATGAGAAACCCTAATTCTAAGATTGTAACGCGCTAATTCTCTTACCTACAAAATTCTTTCGATAAATTAGACTAATCTGTCAATTGAAAATTTTATGGAAAAAAAAATGGGTTGATTTTTTTCAAAACGAGACGTTAGTAAAATCCTAAATCAGTATATCTAGTTAGCATAACCAACCAACCTTCAAATAATTTTAAAAATATTCTTGTCCATCTAGAAAAAAATACCACTTTGAAATATAGACGAGATAAAATGATATTTTATGACATAAATAACTTCTCATATTTGAGGAAGATATAAACACCCGATTGTAGAAACAAGCGAAGTCTATTGTCTAACGAAGTGATTATTATTGAGACGCTGATCGATGTTATTATTGTTATGATTATCATTATTGTAGTTACGATAATCGGTTTCATGTAATGGTTTTGCGTTAATACATAACAACAATATTAACGTGAATAGTGGTGGTGGTGGTGATAGTGGTGGCTTTTGTGTGATTGTAATTATGATTGTAGGAAGTTCATAGTTGTCATGTTGTTTGTTCTCTTCCGGTATGTTTAATTGAACCTTTGTGAATGTACAGTTTATTAAGACGAATATGTAATGAATGCAACGGATTTGTTAATGATTGAATAAAGAAATTGTAAGTCACGAAAGTAAGTGAATGTGTGTTGGGTTAGTGGACAATGTGTACTGTGTGATGGTTGGTGTAATCACATCATTTTTATTTTCATATTATGATAGAAGCTTGTCTATGTATTCGGATTCTGAGAATACATTACAAATTGCAATTGAATACGTTTAATAATCATGACATTCCATTTCGGACCAAGCGGGTGTATTTGTTTAAGTGACCAATTTTCAATCACTAGCATTTTCTTTCTGCTTATTGATGTATTTTTTGTCTACGTACGTGGTCCTTGACAAGTTATACTTGCTCTTCTGTAAACGTTGCTTGCAAATAATGAACAATATGAAACGTACCGCAGTTTTTTTAAATTTAAATGAACATATAATATGGCAGCCAAACGGATGTTTTAATATTATCTAAATAAGATAGGACTAATCATTCTACACTTTTTATAAGACTTTATCCTGTTGATCATCTTAACCAGTTTTCTTATGTTAACTGACTTTCAGTTTACTGGGTTAACACCACAATTAACTATATTCTTGAAGGTAGACCTTACCTTAGTTTTAACGAAATCATTAAGTTAAACTGGGTTATAAAAACCAATTTACTTATTTGCATATCAGTTCACGCTATGAGATATCTACGTAAAATAACTATAAACCACTAGAACGTATTCATGCAAGCTCAGTATGACAATGACCATAATCATTTACTTCCACAAAGAATCAATAATGTACATTGGTCTCAGAATGACATAGTAAAAAAATCGTATTGTTATTATAGTGATTTACACAAATCTATTTCAATAAAACCATTACAATATATCCTACCTTAAATAAGTCAAACCGAAAAGAAAAAGAAAAATGAAAATATACAAAATTTTGAAAATGTAATTTGTTTATTAAGTCAGTCGACTCTAAATATAGGCACACTGTACTCCTAACTCACTTACTTAGAGGACCAGTAATTGATATTTTAATTCAGCTCTTATATCTGTAACTAAGTTGTCAAATAGTGTATTTTCTTGTGAAAAAGCAGCATGAACTGCTCGAAAATGATAAAATGCACATCATTATTTGCTGTTACACAGTAACCAATGAACTGTGTATATCAATTCATTTGGTTTCCAGGTTTTACATTGGTAAGTGGTGATTTCTAGCTGTATATATTGTGGGTTTTTTGTACCAACTGAATTCCTTATGCTGAGTGAACTTTTGAGAAATCAAAAAATCCATGTTCTTTAGAAAATAAAATCAAGTCTGTTTACCGCTGTGTAGCATTGTATTCCTCATTATGTTAGTAGATTACTGCTTATTTTATTCAAACATTAAATAGAATCCAGTTCCATCTTGTTTCGCAATGTCTAACTGTGGAATTCAAAAACCATATATCATCTAATTAGGTAATTCATTACACTGAGTCATTAAAGAGGAATAATATATATTTGTAAAATCTCAGGATATTTTCCTTGAAAAAGCTTGGACCAGATTGCTAGGCGAAACGTCGGATTTACTTAAAATTCATTCGCTGAGACTTTACAAATGTATATTATTTCTCTTTACTGACTCACATTAACTCGGCGTCCAAATATTGTGAAACTATTTGTTCAAATTTAGACGAAAGTTCTTATTTATTATTCTACAATCGCATAAAAATCATTACATTGTTTTGAGATTTTAACCAGACGTCAACAAATGATTTTTGAGATTTCGGCGACTGGGACATAGGAGATAATCATTTGGAAATAACTCACATTTTACGGTTTATTAAACTGAGTAATTCAACAGTAGTTGCACTAATTGTTTCAACACAGCATTCGCAAATTACAAATAATTAGGCTGTTGAAATGATGACATTTCTGCAATGTGATTTCATTAGATTCCCTATGAATGCTTGGATTATGAATAATAAGAGTATATTAATGCTGTTACACTGTTTAGAATCAGGGGTTGGGATTGTTAGTGCTTTGATCACCAACTAATGGTGTATTGGTAAGCAAATGAGCAAATGCAGCTTTTGTGCTCACACTATCTTCACAGTCTTCTGTAGATAGAAAAGTAAGTTGATTACTCTAGAAAGATTTGCCATTGAACACATCCATGTATTCTCAAGTGTAAATAATGTTAACATATCCACCAAACTTCAAATAGGTAGAAAAAAGTGAAATACTAGCATATTAAGGCACAATTCATTAATTCGTTATTTAAATCTTTCCTCTGTTCATCGTAATTGAATGATTCTCTAACGCCCATCAGTTGAGTGAATGAATCCCCTTAACAGTACTGTCAACGCATTTATCGCACTTATTCTGTTGCCGAAAAAAATGACAAATTACTCTTCTTTTAATCAAACGAAAACGTTTTGTGAAATCTAACTGTTAAAGTCACTTTGAGAAAGGAATATCATTGGTACAAGCAGCTCGGAAGAAGCTCTTTGCAACACAATATTTTCAATTTACCGTTCATAGGATGTATATCATGAAGTAACAATTTGACCAAAGCTTATGTAAGTTTTGATAGCATAACCTTTCCTATCAACTCAGCCTTTAGTATTGCTTAGCATTATTAATTATGAATGTTAGACGATTGTTTGGTGTTTTTAAAAATAGTGTATTCAAGTCTTAAACACTCTAATTTATTTTTAAAAAGTGTATGGTTTAACTCCTGTTCTGTCTTTACGAAACATAATTTCTCTTTAGTCTACTTTCTACCCCGCCAGTAGTTCCACTCAGTCAAAGAGTTACTTAAATTGTGTAGTTATTATTTGTTTGATTATTTCTCTAATCATGTTGTATTGTTCACTTGTCTTTGTGTATTGTACTATCATTGCATATATAATTATTCCACTTTCTGTTTGTATTTTTTCTTCTCTCTATTTCAAAGTGCTGAAATGCGCTAACAATCTTGATAACTATTGTCTTGGTGGTAGAGCGACTACACAACCGTGTCTGGAAGAATGCTTGGGTGGATGCGAAACTCGTCCTGGCAATTGTAGAGTGAGTTATATAGTTTTCTTTCCTTTTAGCAAATAAAACAAAAGTTTTACATGTATTCTTACGTAATATGTTTATTTATTTGATATATTTACTGCTGTGATGAACGAGACTGAACGTAAATAATGGAATCTAATGTGATAAGGTGCTATTAGCGCACGGTCTTAAATCGTAATTTACTAGAACACTATCAACCTTGTTACCTTTAATCGATTGATAGTTCTGCAGATTTGTGACTAGTTATGTAATTTTACTGATTTTTAGGTGCATCATGCGGATCTGTCTTCGCTCCTCATGTGAATTTACTGAAATCATAGTGTCCAATTGTTCTCTTTTAAGGCAATATTCTATCTCAATATTTCCTTGTACTTTACCGTTTAGAGTCTATTGAATAATGATGAAATCCCTGAGCAATCTAGAGTCAAAATGGTGTGTAACCGTTATACATAGGCTGGATGATCAATTATATGATTAATACAGTATCTCAAAAGATTGTTGTCTGAGATTCTGATGTGTGAAGACATGAATACGATATTCCACTGATATGAGAAATGCTGACAGTACCAGTTATATGAGAACATTTGGGGATAAACGTACATTTTTCTCTCCCTTCGTCTTTTATTTAAAAAGATATAGACGATGAAAAGTCTTCAAAAGTAATTTTATGAAGAATCAAGATTAAATTTTACATTTTGACTCATTTGTCGACTCACTTGTACACAGGTCACCGTGATATACTAGTCTTCATCCATCCACGTTTCAAATCTTAGTTTAATGGTTAGTTGGATGGAGATATGAATAAACAGGATGATAAAACAAAAGTTTTTACTTTTCATTCTATCTGTGGAATCACATGTTAAACTCTAAACGTTTTAAAATATTAAGAAAATGAGCTGGTACTCTGAAATGCGATTTATCAAACCAGTGGTTTATATATTTCGTTTTTAACGAACCTATATTGCTAAGTAACTGTAACGGGTCATTTTTTGAATAGATATATTATCTTTTAGCAATATGATCATAAGTATTTCAGGCATATCCAAGTGATTCGGGTCACACGCCTTGTGATGAAAGCATTTAATAAAACGAGGTATAATTCGTTTTCACGCATTGATTATGAAATTCGTACTTCACAACTTTGAGAAATTTCTCCCGCTAAAATAAAATGGTTATTCTCTCTCTCTCCCTAAATATAATTAATCTTGTGATATTATCAAGGTTAAATGATCAGTCAATTTCTCGCCATTTTCGTGATGAAACCATAAAGTATTCATGAATAAATAATTATCTTATCCTATGTATTGTAAATATTGTGTTCATTTTGAAGGATATAAGGAGAAAAATCGAGCTTTTACTAAACAAAAAAGTAGAAATCATGATTAAGTTTGATTTTCACCTAATTTATCTTAATATTTGTTTTGATAATTTTCGGTTATCTTAGGCATGCAAACATGCGATGAATGATGGCAAATGTGTATCACAATGTCCGCCACCATTGATAGTTAGTCGAGAAGAGAGTAGAACTATTGCGAATCCAGAATTCAAATATAACTTTCATGACATTTGTGTTAAAAAATGTCCAGGTACGTTAAATCTATTAGTTTTGTGATGGTATTAAATGATTAGTTATCAACAATCAACTAAACATTATTGTTTTTACTCTCATTTATCGATCGTGTCTACCAGTTATTTTACCACGCTAAAAAATGTAATCGAAAATAAGTTAAGATTTGTGGAATGTTGTTTAACCAAATGTCCTCTTACCTCCTATATTTCGTGTATGAATTACTTTTGATTAAAAATCATTGCTTACCTGATATTTTATTACCGTCCAAAAGAAGTATCAGGTTTTTTGTTATTTCAATAATAGGATTTCACATGATGAAATATCGAACACTGTCAGCTTGCATTCATGTCATGCAGAATATAATAACTTACTTTTGATTAATACTACGGTTGTTTTTTAAATCTTCAGTCAAGTAGTCTCTTCAGAGTTTTATTACATCTGTTTGCTCATCTACATTGTTGTCGATAAGTACACTGATTAACGATTCTTAGCTCAAATAACAGTATTATGCTCAGTATTTACAGTCACTGTTTTATGTACAGTTATAAATCAGTCGTCTTTCTGAATATGTACATCTTGTACACGAAGTATTCAACTTCTGATAACTATTATTTGTTTAACTGCAGGCAGTTGGACTAAATAAAAAAACAGACAATATTAGGGCATTTAAAACAATCAGTGTGATGGTTGCTTTTATATTGGGCACACCAGCATACGAAGTTGGAATTATATTCGATAATTTACTTGACACTTGGCCAGGATCAATGACTGAACTACTACATACTAGCACATATTAAATAAGTTTACAGACGTTCACGGAAGCTCGGATTTTCATCAAACAAGAACAAGCAATGTAGAATGAAGTGAATGTTACAAACTTCATAACATTGTAAGACATCTTGTTTGTTTATACAAATCAGTGCGTAAGTGGAAGGTTTAAAGCGCGCAAATAAAAATGAATTTAGTTCATCTCACAATACCTGCTGTACAAGACTTTATCAACTGAACTAATTTCAAGAAGCACACCTTACTGAATAAATATTATTTTCTTGACTATAGAGCATCTTGACAGTGGATAGTTTTTAAGGTAACGAGGAAAAACGTAGCAGTTACAATTTTTACAAACTACTTTACTTTTTACATATTCCTGTTACCTCTCGGAGAGCACATATTGCCGACTACGATTCCTAAACTATGCCTTGAGCTCTCTATTCCAACTGTTTCCAAGTTTTATTCACCCTTTTGATGTCCCTCTAATTCTCAGCACAATGTGTTCTTCAGTCTGCTTCTTTTCCTTTTGTCTTGGAGATCCCAATCTAGGGCTTACCTCGTGATGCAGTTTGATGATTTTCGCAATGTGCCATATCCACCACAAATGTCTTTTCTTAATTTCCTCATCAGCTTAAAGCTGATAATTTTTACAGATGAGACGCAGTAAATCAAAGTAGTGTAATGAGTGGCAAAGAGATTGGTATATTCTCAGTATGGAAGGATTCCATGCGCTTTTCGTGTTTAGATCTTAGAATGTATGTTGAAAACAGCGACCTTTATTGATTTTTATTCAATAATTGTTTTTCTTATCACCAGTCTAATTAGTCCTTTACAGTTGAAACAAACGGTATTGTGAAATCAGTGTTGACCTTTAATAGATAATTTCAATGAAGGGTTTGGTAGACGTAGATGTAACTTTAACATTGGTTTTTTAGTGTTTTTAAACTAGATAATAAAATTATTTCTGAAATTCGCTAGCCAACCAAGTGAATTTCTATATAAAAATATATTAAAATATGGACGGCTTGAGAATAAAATAATTTGTGTGTGCTTTATGACAGGAGAATACTGCTCAACAGATAATTTAATATTATACACTTCGGCTTTACTAGACTTTATTTTCTTCCATGGTTTGGCTTCCTTCTACAACATACTTGAAATATATATTCAAAATGCCACTATTCATCACAAGAAACTATTTTTCCTGGTGATAACAAGTAGTAATATATAAAAGCTTAACAAAAATCCGCTTCTCTAAATTCTCAATCTAACTACGTGGTACATAAGTTGGGCGCCTAATGTGAGGCCTGAAGGTCTCGAGTTTGGTTCTATCAACCTATTTGGTGAAGATTTGATGTTTACTTGTATTTTCTTTGTAAGATTAACAGTGACAAGGATTATGTTGGAAGTAACTTTGAAAATTAAAGAAATAATTAAAGTAGTTTCGCCTTTCAAAAGATTATTTTAAAGTAAATATTCTATGCTAGAAGTTTACGCCCCATGAGAAAGTTCGATGCACAAAAATGTAATTACCGCCTTCAATATTGATATCTTATCACAGTATAAGGAGATGCATGGCGATAAAAGGTGGATGTCCACCACACAGAATGAAAATCTTACACTTGAAAATTCGAGAATCACATGTTTATTCAGTGGTCTACCGTGACTTCATTCAAGTTTCCAAATCGTGCAGCGTATAAAAAGCATAGGCTATATGGCAATAAGTGATGTTTACGTAATCATTTTCCTTGGAAGAATAACACGACCAATTTTAAACTTGATGAATGAGACAAAATGATATTTTATGACATAAATAACTTCTCATATTTGAGGAAGATATAAACACCCGATTGTAGAAACAAGCGAAGTCTATTGTCTAACGAAGTGATTATTATTGAGACGCTGATCGATGTTATTATTGTTATGATTATCATTATTGTAGTTACGATAATCGGTTTCATGTAATGGTTTTGCGTTAATACATAACAACAATATTAACGTGAATAGTGGTGGTGGTGGTGATAGTGGTGGCTTTTGTGTGATTGTAATTATGATTGTAGGAAGTTCATAGTTGTCATGTTGTTTGTTCTCTTCCGGTATGTTTAATTGAACCTTTGTGAATGTACAGTTTATTAAGACGAATATGTAATGAATGCAACGGATTTGTTAATGATTGAATAAAGAAATTGTAAGTCACGAAAGTAAGTGAATGTGTGTTGGGTTAGTGGACAATGTGTACTGTGTGATGGTTGGTGTAATCACATCATTTTTATTTTCATATTATGATAGAAGCTTGTCTATGTATTCGGATTCTGAGAATACATTTTTTCTTCGTGCTTACTGTGTTGTAAATATAAGTTCACTTTCGTAAAGTTTAAAGGAACAAATACCATATGAGTTGTTTTACTGATCTTTATTTCTGCACAATGATACTACATATAGAGAAATCATAAAATAAAATATCCATCATATATTATACTTAGGTAAAAATAAAAATACGTTTTCAACTTTACTTCAAACTTACAGTAGTTATTAATATCTTAATTCACACTCAGTTTTGAAACTGTGCAGTCTTACACCTGAAGTCATTCGAGAATATTGTGAACCAGTGGCTTATAACTAAACATCATATTAAGGTGTTACATAGCCAAATAAGTGTTTGCATTTTTAATTCTAATTAGTGTGTACTGTTAATAACATAGAATCCAATTAGTACCCTGTGGAGCTGTAGACTAGTGATTGAAACACTCATCTTTCAACCACTACATTAAACATTTGAAAGCCGGTCCACAGATCTCAAGGATGGAATTATCTGTAACTGTTTGTCATGGGTATGTCTGGAGTAGCACATATCCACATGCTGTTTGGCAAAGGGTAATATTTCAACGATTAGGGCTTGAAACGAAACGTTTAATAAACATGACATTCTATTATGTATCCATCGCTTACTTTTTGGACGGAAAATTGCTAGAATTTACTATATGAATATGGTGGAGAAGATTTGTAGCTCAGGTGGTTGATTTCGATGGAGTTTTGTTCTCTGAGCTGGTTGGTTTGGTCGTGTAGCTTCCATCGTTCTTCCGAACGACATGTTCAATGTACTTACAGGGTAGCACAGCCTATTTCAGTGTAGAGTTCATCATAGTTTTCTAGCTCGTACACGATTACTGTGGTTCATTTCAATTGTAAAAAGCCGGACTTTTTGTTTATAATAATTATAAATTACTGATTCATTTACTTATTCAACAAATATTCTCATGACTTTGAAAATTACTCTTGATCTAACTTTTAATCTGAATATTTAATTTTATTAATTACACTTATACTACTTCTTGGTATTTCGTACATCTAATCGATTAGTTATTTTCTTAACCTCTTTTTATTAATGATCACTTCACGCGTAAATTATGTGGAATAGTGAATCAATAGGAGTTTTAACTTGTTTTATCCTATTACATTATTCAGTTTTTGTTGTTTCATTCATGTTCACATGATTTGCATGTGTGTTGTGCATGGAAATTGATCTGTGTGAATATATATATATATATATATATATATATATATATAATAGGTCTGCACAAAATGCCACATATCACTGATTTTATAAGAGATTATCTTCTTTGTGTATAGATTACTGATAAACTTTACATTTGTATTAGGTAATTTAGTGCACAAATATATAGAAAGAAAGAAATGCAAGTCAAAAACCTACAAATTATTTAGGTTACATTTTACAAAGGTGAATATTCGAGTAGGTCAAATCCTATTGATATATATATCAGCTAGTTGAATTACTCCATAAAATTAACGATGTAATGTAAAATCTATTCCTGTTAAATGTTTTATTCGAATGAGGTTAATTTTTTCTCTTTTTTAGAAATATAAAGAATAAAAGACTTACCAATATTGTTTTTAATGTTAAATTGTTTGTTGAAAAATAAATGCAAACTTATTTCTTAAATACACCTTATTTCAATGATTTCTGAACAGCTGCTTACAACCTGAACAAATAAATATTTGTTATAATAACAAAATGACATAATTAATACACAATATCCGAAAACATACAGTTGATGTTTTACAAGTAAATCATGCTGAATAGAGTATTATTATGATATACTGCTCATAAAATACATTCAATTTTAAGATATCACTATAACAGACAGATAAGTGATTTTGGTTACATATGGAATGAACAGATCAATAAAAAAGGGATTATCCAATCGTGTGAAAAACTATCAGAAT